AATGTTTCTGCCTAGTAGTGGGGCTGGGCATGAAGGGATAACTAGGAAGGAGTGCGAGAATGGAGTTTTGTTAAACATGCAGAACAGCGGTTGGGTTTGCCTAGGGGGTGAGGGGGACCCGTCAATTTCCACTACAGAGATATGGGAAGGAACAGTAGGGCCCGAGTGAGAGGGGATCACAGAATAGATGGCCCCCATATCCACCAGGAAAGAGAAGGATTCACCAGCTACCTGGAACATGACCCTGGGCTTGGGGAGGGTTACTGGAGTCGAGGAGCCAGGGCCTCTTCAGTCCATGAACCCCAGCAGCTCCATACCCTGTAGTCGGGCAGTCCGACTTCCAGTGGCCTGGCCGTTTGCACAGTGGGCATGGTTTGGTAGGAGGCTTGGGGTTGGGGCAAGCCTTTGCCCAGTGGCCATCGCGGCCACATTTGAAGCAGGCTCCTGGCGGTAGGTGCTGACTCCCCTGGGGAGTGCGGCGATGGACCGGATTACCTGCGGGCCTTAGGGCTGCTACCAGGGCTTGGGAGTGGAGGCTAACTATTTGTTGGACTCTAGCCTGACGAGTGGTCTCAGCCGTCTCTTTTCGGGCGTTAAAAACCTTAAATGCCATCTTTACCAGGTCCTGTATTGGGGTTTCAGGGTCCTCCTCAGCCCTTTTTTAGTTTTTTTCTAATATCGGGCTGACTGAGAGATGAAGTGGGAAGCTAAAACAAGCTTTTTCTTTCGCAAGGTTTGAGTGTACCCCAGGCCAGAGAAGTTTTTTTAGGAGGCAACCCCTGGTGAGGGTGAAAAGGAAGAGGAGAAAGGAGGAGGGGTTTATTACAGACAGTGCAGGAGCCTGAACAGGAAAGGAAAAGGAGAAGGGGAGGGAGGGAGAGAGAGAGAGAGCGTGCGCAAGCAAGCAGAGGCAAGGTTTCGGTTTCTGGTGAGCGGGTCTAGGCAGGAGGCACCCAGGCGTCCCCGAGTGAATCGGTCCAGAACGGCAGTAAGGACGGAGGGAGAGGGATTGACAAGACGTCTCAAAGACAGTCACTCTCCTGTGACCCCTGGGGTCTACGGAAGGAGGATTCCCTTTCCCGGTGGAGCTTGAGAAACCGAAACCAGGATTGACGAGATAAGAGAGGAATGCAGTTAAAGGAGACTCACCAGGGGCTGCCGGTTGGTCTTGAGCGCTCTGAGGGCTGAGGTGAAGCGCTGCGCCCGAAGGTCCTGGAGACTTTGGGGGAGATAGGGGGGCTCTCAAGGGACCCCCAAAGAAGGGG